ACCCCCGACATCCCCTGACAACACCCGACATCCCCTGACAACACCCGATATTACCTGACAACACCCGACATTACCTGACAACACCCAAAATTACCTGACAGCGCCCGACATTACCCGAGATTACCCAAACAACACCCGACATTACCTGACAACACGCGACATTACCTGACAACACCCGACATTCCCTGACAACACACGACATTACCTGACAACACCCGACATCACCTGACATTACCTGACAACACCCGACATCACCCGACAACACACAACAACACCCAACAAAACCCGACATTACCTGACAACACCCGACAATGCCTGACAACACCCAACATTACCTGACAGCGCCCGACAACAGCCGACATTACCCGACAACACCCGACATTACCCAACAGCACCCGACATTACCTGACAACACGCAACATTACCTGACAGCGCCCGACAAAACCCGACAACACCCAACAACACATGACCGCACCCAACATTACCTGGCAACACCCGACATTACCTGACATTACCTGACAACACCGGACAACACCCGACAACACCCGACAACACCCGACAACACCCAACATTACCTGACAACACCCGACATTACCTGACAACACCCGACATCACCTGACATTACCTGACAACACCCGACAACACCTGACATTTCCTGACAACACCCGACATTACCAGACAACACCTGACATCACCTGACATTACCTGACATTACCCGACAACGCCTGACAACACCCGACATCACCCGACAACACACAACACCCGACAACACCCAACATTACCTGACAACCCCCGACATTACCTGACAACACCCGACATTACCAGACAACACCTGACATCACCTGACATTACCTGACAACACCCGACATTACCAGACAACACCTGACATCACCTGACATTACCTGACAACACCCGACATTACCAGACAACACCTGACATCACCTGACATTACCTGACAACACCCGACATTACCAGACAACACCTGACATCACCTGACATTACCTGACAACACCCGACATTACCAGACAACACCTGACATCACCTGACATTACCTGACAACACCCGACATTACCTGACAACACCTGACATTACCTGACAGCGCCCGACAACACCCAACAACGCCTGACAACACCCGACATCACCCGACAACACACAACACCCGACAACACCCAACAACACCCGACAACACCCGACAGCGCCCGACAACACCCGACATTACCTGACAACACCCAACATCACCTGACAACACCCAACAGTGCCTGACAACACCCGACATCACCTGACAAAACCCGACATCACCTGACAACACCCGACATTACCTGACAGCGCCCGACAACACTCGACATTACCCGACAACACGCTACATTACCTGACAACACGCGACATTACCTGACAACACGCGACATTACCTGACAGCTGCCGACAACACCCGACAACACCCAACATTACCTGACAACACCCAACAGCACCTGACAACACCCGACATCACCTGACAACACCCAACAGCGCCTGACAAAACCCGACATCACCTGACAACACTCGACATTACCCGACAACACGCGACATTACCTGACAACACGCGACATCACCTGACAACACGCGACATTAACTGACAGCTGCCGACAACACCCGACAACACCCGACATTTCCTGACAACACACGACATCACCTGACATTACCAGACAACACCCGACATCACCTGACATTACCCGACAACACCCGACATCACCTCACAACACCTGACATTACCAGACAATCCGCACATTCCCCGACAACACCCGACATTACCTGACAACACCCGACAACACCCGACATTACCTGACAACACCCGACATCACCTGACATTACCTGACTGCGCCCGACAACACCCAACAACACCCGACAACGCCTGACAACACCCAACATTACCTGACAACACCCAACAGCACCTGACAACACCCGACATTACCTGACAACACACAACACACCGACATTACCTGACAACACCCAACATTACCTGACAACACCCAACAGCACCTGACAACACCCGACATTACCTGACAACACCCGACATCACATGACATTACCTGACAACACCCGACATTACCAGACAACACCCGACATCACATGACATTACCTGACAACACCCGACATCACCTGACAACACCCGACATTACCTGCTA